TTTTCAGAAGAGCTCTGCATGTGCTTGAAGTAAGTATGTGTCTGCATGCCTTGCGGCTTCCAGCCAAAATGACAAATGCTTGTGCAGAATTTAGTTCTAAACAAGCTGTTCTAAAAGAACAGCTTCTTCAGTACTTACCAGCCAGCCAGATACTTGAAGTGTCACTGGGACCTGGTGCTGCTTCAGAGATTTTCAAGGAAAAGAGAAAAAGCCAGTGTTAGTACCGGTGATGGTTTGAGTCACTTGAGTTCACAAATTTGCCTGTCATGATTATGAAGGGATTAGCGCCCTAGACTTTTATCTCCTTTAAAGATGCTTCATCCTGTTGTTGGTATGCTAGAGAGAAATGGGTTCTCATGCTTCATATGTCTCCTTGGAGGGGAGGCAGACACCTTGTCATAGTTGTCATATCAGGCATCTTGATGGTGTACAGGGCCAAACCAATGAGCTTACTTTGTGATAAACCAACGTCTGTCTTTACTGTGGTTTTATCCCAGCATTGCTTCTGTGCATTTGCTATCCGACATAAAGATACAGTGCTCTAATTGCAGACGAGCTTTTTGGAAGTACTAGAAGCTTTGTGAGAGAGCGCATCTTGGGACTTGTCTGCTTGGTGGTTTAGGCTAGAGGTGTGAAGCACATGCATAAACTAAAAGTGTATTACATCTACCATTAAATTTCTTCCTTCAGAAGGAAAATGGCTTTATTTTGTTATATAGTAAACTTTACTTCTGAATGGGAGCATTCAACCCTGAAATCTGCATGTGTATTTTGAGTTAGTGACCTTAACTTTCCCAAGTGCTGCTGTGTAGACAAGCTCTCAGGACAAATGATGTTCCCAGTGAAATATAACGTGGTGCAGCTGATACCAGTGACTTGGAAGCTCAGAGTAAAATGGAAAGTATCATAAATTCATCTGTGCCTTGCAGGCAGGATCATATGCTTTTCAGCTGGCATAGCCAAAAATCTGTTTGTACATAGATACCATTCCTTCCCAGTGATAGTCACTGAGTAGATTCTGTTCTACATGCCAATGGTCTATAAGAGAGCAGGTGTTTCTATATCTAACCGACTTCAGCTCTGAACCCAGGGCTGTCATTTTGACTTGGAATCGGGACACGTTCGTTCCAAAGTCTGTGATCGTCTCTGCCATAAATAATCTTTTTGTTGTTATTGTTCGTAGTGTTTTGCTTTATTTTAAAGAAAAGATCACCATAATGGTCTTCTGTATTCGACTCAAGTGACTTTCCAAACTCTACCTTTGTGTTGTTAATTATTTCCCCTTTTTAAAAAAGATTGATTACAAAAAATGGCATACAATGTTTGGGATTGAATCTCATTCAGACAGGTGGGCGTCTCAGTGCTGCTACTGACTACCTAAAGAAAAGGTAGATTTAAGTATGTTTGGGGGACTTACCTGCTAAACCTAAAATGCAGGGTTCAAAAAGCAGACTTCTTAGTTGAGTTTGTGTATAGTCTGAAGAATCCCAGCTTTAATGTACAGGGAGATACAGGTAGCATGTACATGCCTTCTATCTAACTGAAAAACCTGAAAGCACTTTAGTTAATCAAATTCTTTCAAGCATCCCTCTGAGGTAGGGAAAATACAGGATATCCAAAGGTTACATCACTTTCAAAAAAATGTAGTTGCCTAAGGTATTCACAAGTTGGATTTACTGATTAAACCAGTACCCAGCCCCATTTGTGTTACATTTGAAGAATGCCCTGTACCACTGAAATGCCAGGAATGGCAGTGAGCGGAAAGGTTGGTGGTGAAGGAATGATGGGGTGTAAGGGAGATTATTCCCAAAATTAAGTTTCAGGATTTAACAGGCTAGAGCTTTCTGACCTGGGTGTCTTTTATGAAGCCTCTGCAACCTCTGAGGATCTTGGGGCTCCCTGTTCTCCTGGAACATTAGATGACAAGTAGTCACAGCTCTGCTTCTCCTTGCCCCTAATTCACCTTAGCAGCAGATGTCTCTAGGATTCAGTTTCACCACACAGAGTGAGCAGAAATAGCAGCTTACTGTCATTGAAAGAGGGAGATACAGGTCCCTCATCGCAGCCCTCCCTTTCTCCTGGCTCTGCACTTTTGCCTCTTACCTTGTACTGCCGTGAGCGGTTGTTGGGTTTTTCTGCAAGCCAATTTAGTTCTCTAAAACAAGAGAAAAAAAGACATTGGAGGAAAAAAAAAAAAGGTAGTTGTTTTATTTGTTACCACATAGTAACTAGTTTTCTGGCTAACTGCAAGGCGAGTGTGTCTGTTGGAGAAAATGGTCCAGGTGAGCAACAATACCCAATTTGCAAACAAGCGATCACATGTCATTGATGGGTGGGTGCAATTCTGGGGCATGCACATGGCTAGCTGTGTTTGATCTGAGTCCTGAAAGCATACTTGCCACACCATGCTTTTTGAAAAAACCTCGGGGTGTGACTGGCCAAGAGAATCTCTGGAATCTCTGGCCAGGATTTTAAAAAAGTCATCTTGTAAGCACCAAAGCTGATGAAGCACGGCTTCCTACATTTTGTATCTCGTGACTGATAGCTGCACCTTTGGAACAGGTGTCTGAAATCTTTCAGACAGCCGGATGATAGCTTTCCTATGTGCAGACTCTCTCATTTGTAGAAATGTACGGGTATCCTCCAGGAGCATAAAGCAGTCTCCCTCTTATGCCTGTTTTCATAGAAGTTGTAGGGCCTAAACTTTTTTGAATGTACCTCCTCCTCTGTCCTGTGTGGCGTGAACGGGCCAACGCTCTGTGCAAGCACAGGGTGATTACATCAGCATCATTTCCACAGGGAGCCAGATAAGAACAGGGAGCCAGGGTTAAGCTCCCCAAACTCTGTTCAAAGGTGAACCAGAAGCAAAGAAAAAGACAGTAAATCATTGCAACGCGTACCTTTCTGGTACCTACCTCCTGAGCAGGGTCCCAGACCCTATCACGGGTCCGTTGCAGTTAGTGGGAGGAGATGGGCATTGCAGAGCTGGATTGGGATTCCACACAGCAGACAGGGAGTCATTTCCTGGGAAGTGCTTGGTTGAGCAAAGGGTTTTGCAGTCACAGCCGTATATACTTTGTTGCCTAAGTTCTTATATGGATCAAGTTCTAAATTAATAGGTAAACTTTTGTAGTTAGGTTCCTAGGCTGCAATTTCTAAACCTACCGAAGGAATTTTGAAATTTAACTGGGACATGGGAAACCAGCTTGATTTGGGAGAAAAGATTTACTAATCAAGGTTTGCAATGGTCAGTTTTCCATTGGATTTTAATTTGCGTAGCCAGATAACCCACACCAGTTTAATCTTCTTGCAGGCATGATTCCCAGTGCTGGATTTTGGAGCTAAAAGATTTTTGTGTTTCTTGTAGGTAGCTTAAAATGGCTGCTCTCAAAGACATTCAGCCTACAGGAGAGTTCACCTGTCAGCTGTGTGGCTTAACAGCTCCATACACATACTACGGGCAGAAGCCACCAAACACATGCTCTGTTGTGTAAGTAGTCTTCCATATTACAGACTTCATTCATGCTGTGAGCATTAGAACCTTGTACTGTGGAGCAGTGTGCGCTGCGTGAACTCCATAACATGCCACACTGCCCCTGGATATGAGGCTTGGTACTTAAAGCGTCCTCCCTTTTCCAAAGGGAAGAAATGTTAAAAATTGTCAGCATTGGTAACGAAGACAAAAATCAGCTTTCCCGTCCTGCTTCAATACCATGCAAAGACTGGTATTTAACATATTTTCTAACCCTGCTGGCCACCCTACTATTTACCTATACCAACATTTTTTTGCTAGAATGGAGACTGTCAGCTTAGCATTTCTGGGAATAGCCCTTTCCTCACAGCTGTGTCAGTTAGGCAACGTGTAAACACAGCATGCATTAAATACATACGGTAAAAACACTTTTTAAGAGCTGTTTGACATGACATGGAGTTTTGAACAACAATGCTTTTTTGCATGAATTAGACAATTCTTTTGCAGATTGTATAACATTAAAGTGTGTGGAAATTCAGTACTTATTTACATTCTAGGAGACTGAAGCCTTTTCCATCTCTGCCAAGTAGGAATAGTTTGACCAGAAACTCTGCCGTTACAACTGTCTGCAGACATCAAACTCCCCATAAAGCAAAGCACTTAGCTTTAAATGTACGAGTAGCTCCGTCGAGGCCATGCCGGTCAATGAACCCATCAGGCAAACATGGTCAGGAACTCACTGGAACTGGAAGCTGAGCATGTACTCAGCATTTCACCCCACTGAGGCTGCTCAGTTTCTTATAAAGTGGAAGCAGCTGTTGATCACCACCTGCTGGGACTGTGTTCCTTGGTGTCGCGTTAAAGGGGGGGGTATGGGGAGTCTGATATTCAACTAGCCTGCCAGAGCCCTTCCAAGGACTTTCACTGAAACAGTTTCGCAAAGTTGAAACAGTAGGTAATTTATTCAAGCGACAGTTATCACAGATTCGGAATTGCTGTTGATAAATTCACTGTCTACAAAAGTTGAGCTCAAAGTAATAGTTTAGCGCTTTAGTTAACAGTGTGTTCCCGGGGATACGTCTGACAAAGTCAGAGGCGCGACTCTTACCAAAAAGGCATCCCTTCTTGGGGGGGGAAGAGAGGTTCAGGCCCGTCGACCCGTCCGTCGGGTGAAGTTCTCGCTTGGCTCCTCCTCCCAAAGAGAGTTTTCAAGTGCCAATTTTTATATGTTTGGAAATCTTTTTGCAAGGTGGGACTAAGTCAATTATTGTGTATCGATTGGCTCTTGGCA